TCTCTATTTTCATTCAGTTACATTGTTTTTCAGTATGTATCCACTGTCTTGATATTAAACAAATATCTTGCATAAAAATAAATATAAAATTTGTATACCTCAACTAGGGTCCTTTCGTCTAATTTGCTACTGTGAATAAGAGCACCATCCTGTCCAGATAGGGTTAGATCAAATTAAAAAAAAAAAAAAAAAAAAGCACCATTCTGCTGGGCATGGTAGACCAGCCTGGCTAACACAGTGAGACCCCATGTAAATTAAAAAAAAAAAAAAAAAAAGAGCACCAACCCCAACTATGGCAGAGCTGCTAAAGGAGTCTCTTGTGGAGACTTGAACCATAAGCCAAGGAGGCAAAGGTACAAAGTCTCTCCTGGAATTAGTTCCTGGACTTCTGTGCAGCCTTCCCCCTTTCTACTATGTCTTCACCATTCCCCTGCAAACAGCTTTCTTCTTGCATCTCTTCTATGCTGTGGCCTTTGATGCTACAACATATTTAAAAATTTTCCCAATAGAGCTTTTCTGCCTGAAACCCACTAGGAAAGATTTCAGGACATTTCTTTAATAACTAATCTTGTTCAAAGAGGAAGGCCTCCTTCGTTTCACTTAATTCAAACCCCCACTGTTCAAAATAAGAATATAATTATAACCTCAATTTATATCAGGCCAGTATAGGAAGAGAACCACAACAGGCTCTCTCTTCCACGTTCATCTCCAGACTTTTTTCCTTAGTTTCTCCTTCCTCATTTCCCTCCTCAATCCCTCCTCCCCGCCCCCCACAAAATAATTCCACAGCTAGAGAATCTCGTTTTTAAAGGCAAAAATTCAGTGAGGAAAATAAGTATGTGCCTTTTTTTTTCAATTATTTATTATTCCTCCGTCCCTCAGGAAGACTTAAGCTAGTATTTTTTAATCTGACCGCTCTCTCAGAAGGATGATGCGCTAAATACACACTGAAAGAAAAGTCTTCCCAAAGCAAGTGGATTCGCAGCTACAGGCAACGCGGTGGGAGTGGGGGGCCCGGGGAGAAGAAAAAGTATCCTTGGCCCCCAGAGCCAGAGATGGGACAGGAGGTGAAAGAAGGGGCCGTCACTGAGAAGTGCAACACACACACTCGCCAGAACAATCTGCCAAGAGAATAGGACCGGCCACTGCGGCTCCAGCCCGGTCCCGCGGGACAAGGCGGGGGAGGGGGGGCCGGCGGGCCAGGGGGCCTGCCCTCCTTCTGTGGGACAAAACTAACTCCCAGGCGCACCTCCGCTCCCGACAAGAGGGGCCTGGTGGGGACGCGGGCTCCTAGCACCTCCAGCGCAGCACTTGCCGACGGCCTGCGGGGAAGTAAGGCCCGGAGGGAGGGGAGTCGGGCTGCGCAGCGCCAAGAGCACGGGATGGAGGGTCAGACGCGGGCACCCAAGGCACTGGGGGCCGCGACAAGAGACCCTTCCAGCCCGGGAACCCTGGGGCCCCTCTCCACCCTCGCAGAGCAGGATCCCGAATATCGTCCCCAGCCGCACCGACCGCTCCTCACCTCAAGCTGCCTGAGCCTCCGCCTGTACTACAACCTGAGCCGCCGAAGCCGCCACAGTCCGAGCCATTTTTCCCCTCAGCTGGCTCAGCCGCCGCCGAAAGCTTCGGCCGACTCCACAGCCAGCCAAGCCAGCACGTCACTTCCGACCAGGGAAGCACCGCCTTCCCCGCCCGGGCTTGTTGTGAATTGGCTGGCGCGGACGGCCTACCTGAGCGGGCGGGCGGGGCTTTGTCGCTGCCCGTGTGGCGTGAGCAAGGGAGCTGGGGCGCTGGGGAGCACGAGCCCAGGGGACCAGGGTCCGGATCCCTCCCGGGGAATGCTGAGCAGGCTCCGGACCCTCTCCGTGCACACCCCAGACCTGGGGAGGGGAGCTCCCAGGACACCCCAGCTGGCCGCTCCCCGGGCCCTGCGTCCGAAGCCCCGCAAACCGGGCCCGGGCACTGAAGTACCCTATTGTTCCTACCCCCTCCCCCGGGACTCCGCACCCTACTCCGTCTAGGCTGAGGCTCCCAGATTTGTGTCTTGGCCCCCGGCGGCGCCGAGATTACTTTGTGATTGGAAGACTGAAAGGAACAGGCGAGACTTAAACTCCTCCACTCCAACCAGCATTTACCGACGCCTCACGGTGGGTCAGGTGGTGTACGGTGGGTAATTAGTAGCCTATCACGTGGTTTCTGTAAAATGCTTGATGGCACGTAAAACGCTTTGAGGTCGGCGTCTCGTTTCATCCTCACAACAGCCAGGTAAGGAAGATATCCCCATGATAATAACTCACAGCCAGACGACTCTTTCTACATTACAAAGTATTTTCACATGCAATCTCCATAATAATACCTTCTTATTGAGAATTTAATGAGATTATGCTTGTCGTTTGGTCCTCACGTGTGAGATTTAAAAATTACGTAACCATGGGAAGAGATAGGAAAATTATCCCCATTTACAGATGGTGCTTCTGGGGCACAAAGATGTTAAGCGGAGAGGAAAGATTCCATAGCATTTTACAACAGATTGTCCTTTAAGCAATAGGAGAAGGGGGTCCACATCATCCAGACGTTCACTATCTAATGTAGCAGACTGATTTAGCCTGCATTTCTCAGCCTAAACTAAAAATTATCAGCCTGTATGTATATACGCATAATTAGAAGGCTCTAAGAGAAGTTGAACCTTCAGCAAATAACGGGAAAGAAAAAATGGTCTGATTTGGCTGGGACGGGGGTCGGAGAAAGGGGGCTAGGGCAATGGGGAGTGTGGAGTGGATGAATCCCTCATAGCGCTGTAATAAACATGCCTACACCTCCCCAGGGAAGGGAAAATTGGATGGAGTTTCTATTCTATGGGGAATTCTAGAAGCAAATGTGTGATTATTTCTTATGGCTGTAGCTACCGGCTCTTGTGCACCCCCACTTCTTACTCCTTTCTTTCCCCCCAAACCCGCCCCTCCTCCATGCACACACACTTCCAGGCAGGCTACGCGCGTTCTAGAAGAATGTCCCTTAGAAATCAACTTAGTTCCGCAGCATTGTTCTGCTTTATCTTCTGATCACAGGAGGAATTCTAAAATTGGCAGCAACTCTTTCACAAGATTAAAAAGGGTGGGGAAAGTGATTTATCTCAGGGTAGCTTCCTAGCTTCTGCTCCAGAACTGAGTGTGCCTTCAGGAAAGAAGGAAGAGGCCTTGAGAGAACACTGAGTCTTCAGGGAAGGGTAACTATTTGTCTGTCTTTCTTTCTTTCTCTTTCTCTCTTTCTCTCTTTCTTTCTTTCTTTCTTTCTTTCTTTCTTTCTTTCTTTCTTTCTTTCTTTCTCTCTTTCTCTCTTTCTCTCTTTCTCTCTTTCTCTTTCTTCCTCTCTCCCTCTCCCTTTCTCTTTCTTTCTCTTTCCTCCTTTCTTTTTTTTGATCCAGTCAGACAGACTGGATTTTTTTTTTCTAATTTTTTTTTTTTTTTTTTAATGAAAAATATTTCCCCTGAGTCCCAGCAGCAGAGGGCCCTGGTTCTTGAGTCACTTCCTTGTTGCAGTTCCCACTTCATTATTATAGCTTTTGAATGGCTGATCCATGGTAGCCTCTCATCAACCAAAAGGTTCCCAATAAGGTGAAGAGAAAGAAAAGGAGTTTGATGGTTTTCCAGATTCCAAAATAATTAGCTTTCTCAAGTTGCCAGGTGTCAAGAACCAGAACAGGTAACCCTCTCTCAGCATATCTCATCTGTCAGCAATGGCTTGTGAAGATGCATATGTAAACAGTAGGAACACAGACTTCTGGGAGACAGTACAAACTGGTGCTGCTGTCATTTGGAACCAACTAGAACATACGTGGCAACCATTTCTCCTGTTTCCTTTCTTCCACTGGCTTCACTTTTTTTTTTTTTTCTTTTTTTTGAGGTGGAGTCTCAGACTTGTTGCCCAGAGCGGAACGCAGTGATGTGCTCTCGGCTCACCACAACCTCCGCCTCCCTGATTCAAGCGATTCTTCTGCCTCAGCCTCCTGAGTAGCTGGGATTACAGGCATGTGCCACCACACCCAGCTAATTTTTGTATTTTTAGTAGAGACAGAGTTTCTCCATGTTGGCCAGGCTGGTCTCGAACTCCCAACCTCAGATGATCTGCCCGCCTTGGCCTCCCAAAGTGCTGGGATTACAGGCAGAGGCCTTACATTTTTAAGTGTTTCAATCCTAACTTCCCACAGACAACTTCCCAGTACCACAAATATTCCCCAGTCTCTTCCAGTACCACATGAGAAATGGGCAATCTTTTTTTTTTTAACCACAGATAAAATATAGTGGCGTACAATGATTAGCATTTGCTAAGGCCAAGCCCTGTTCTTCGTGTTTTATGAGTCTCATTGACTTTATGAGTCTCATTGACTTCCTCCAACTACCTTCCTAAAAGATATAATTATTATATCCTAATTTTATAGCTGAGAAATTTGAGGAACAGAGAGGAGAGTAACTCGCCCAATGTCACACAGCTACTAAAGAGTAGAGCTGGGATCCAAAACTGGGTCTGGCTGCACAACCCATGCTCTCTTAACCTCACAGTTCCCCCAGCGGGCCAAGGAGATTTTAACATCTACAAAATGCTGTTAATAAGTATAATAGTTAGGTTTTTTTTTTTTCCGTTTCTCAATGTCGAATCCCCATCTGAGTAGAAGGACTCTGCTGGGTACTATACCAAACTATTTATTTATATATTTTTGTTTTTTGAGACAGAGTCTCACTCTGTTGCCTAGGCTAGAGTGCAGTGGCGCCATCTGTGCTTACTACAACCTCCATCTCCTGGGTTCAAACCTCCAGAGTAGCTGGGATTACAGGTGCACACCACCACATCTGGCTAATTTTTTGCACTTTTAGTAGAGACAGATCACCATATTGACCAGGCTGGCCTGGAACTCTTGGCCTCAAGCGATGCTCCCATCTCAACTTCCCAAAGTGCTGGGATTACAGGCATGATCCACTGTGCCCAATTATTTAATCCCGATTATGATAAGCAGTGTGAAGGAAAACTACAGTGTTCTTTGATTTAGAATAGAAGACAAGAAGGCCTTCCTTGACAAAGTGACATTGAGCTGAGATCTAAAGGATAAGTAGAAATTGAGGATGGGTGAAAGCATACCAGGCAGAGGGGACAGTGTGTGCAAAGACACTGAGAAAGGAGCATGGCTCAGCTGAGGAACTGAGAGGCTAGTGTTGTTGTTATACTGAGAAGAAGGAAGTATCTTTATTAAAAAAAAATTTTTTTTTAGACACGGCATGTCACTATGTAGCCTGGGCTAGTCCCAAACTCCTGGCCTCAAGCAATCTTCCCACTTAGCCTCCCAAAGTGCTAGGAGTATAGGTGTGAGCCACTGTGCCTGGCCAGAAGCATCTTAGGCACTATAGTGAGACAGGACGATAATGCCAGGCCTGGGAGGCTATATTAAGAATTTAGGTCTTTATCTTGAGAATGAAGAGAAAGATTTTAAGCCTTCAAGTGATCAGAGTTGCATTTTTGAAAGATTTCATAGAGCTAGGAGGAGAAAGGATTAGAAGGGTCTAGGGGATTTGGGTAGCCCAGTCTGGAGTTTATTGCAACTGTGTAGGGAAGTGATGACAGTGGCTTGAACCTTGGATAAGACACAATAAATGTGTGGCTCACGCCTGTAATCCCAACACTTTGGGAGGCTGAGGCGGGTGGATCACCTGAGGTCAGGAGTTCAAGACCAGCCTGGCCAACATGGCAAAACCCCATTTCTACTAAAAATACAAAATTAGCCAGGTGTGGTGGTGCATGCCTGTAATCCCAGCAACTCAGGAGGCTGAGGCAGGAAAATCACTTGAACCCAGGAGGTGGAAGTTGCAGTGAGCCAAGGTCGTGCCATTGCACTCCAGCCTAGGCAAAAAGAGCGAAACTCCATCTAAAAAAAAAAAAAAGACACATAAATGTGAAGCTGACTGAGCTAGGGTTCCTGGCCTTGGAGACAGTCCAGTAGGGGAGAACAACTTAGAAGTAAAAATAGTATATTGTGCTATGAGCACTACTAGAGGCAAGCCCAAATAACTCTGAAAGGTTGGAGAAAAGATAAGAGGGAAGATGGAAAATGTATTTATTATCTATTGCTGCATATCAAATTACCCCAACATTTAGCAGCTTAACGTAATAAACATTTACTAGATCACAGTTTCTGTGGGACAGGCATGTTGGCATGGCATAGGTGGGTGTTTCTGATTTAAGATTTCCCACGAGATTGCAGTCAAGCTGTCAGCTGCCAATCCCATCTAAGAGCTTGAATGGAGGGAGATCCACTTCCAAGTTCACTCATGTGGTTGTTAGAAGGCCTTGATCTCTCCCGACATAAGCAGTCCTCTCCCCAGGGCTTCCTCTCAACATGGGAACTGACATTCCCCAATGTAAGTGACCAAGAAAGAGAGCAAGAGAACCAAGAGTGTATGAGAGAGAGCACCCATGGAAAGAAGTCACAGTCTTTTTGTAACCTAATCTCAGAAATGGTCTTACACTTCTGCCATACTCTGTTTATTAGAAGTGAGTCAATAAATTCAGTCCACGTTCAAGAAAAGGGAAATACACAAAGGTGACGAATACACAAAGGTGTGAATAGCAGGAGGTGGGGATCATTGGAGTTCATTTTAGTGGCTGCCTACCACAGTAG